ATATATATATATATATATATATATATATATATATATATATTTTGTATTTCTGGTCTCTGAGTCATTTAGCCTCTGGTACCGACATAAGAGAGGAACACTATTTCAACATCTCTAGCCTTCGCCCACTCCTATATCCCCTATATAAGCACCCACAGCAAACATCTCTTCTGCACTCCTTACTCTACTACTGAATTGGTTATCTTTATTTCATTGCATTACAAGTGTCATACAATTTCCATGATTCGTAACGTATTCTTTTGGATCTTGGTATGTCATTCTTACCCTTTGTATCTGGTTAATAATTGGTTATCTGATTGCATAACCACATTCTCACAAATCCTCTAGGATAATTTTATTATGTATGTTCTTGATTTGTCGTTATTGTAGTTTTGATGTAATATTTTATTTGTTTGAATAAAGGTTTGATTACCCAAGTTTGAGGTAGAGCCCATTCCGACGTCTTCCACCGAAACACTCATACACAACACCATATAAGTCCCGCGTGGCAGCATCAAGCGCAAAACAACGAGAACCCGTTACTACAACATCCATTGTTTATAGGCTGAACAAGAGTATTCCGATGCATTGCTTTTTCTGCAAAGAATTGCTTAGCCAAACGATTTTTTGAGGATTCTTGTGTTAAGGTTCATTCATCGGGCTAGTGATCTTTTACAGCTTGCGTCCACCAGTCATCGTAAATACGCACCTCATCAACATGCGATATCACTGATCGCTTGGCTTACACATTATTAGCTTATTGATAGCTAACATATTTTAAATTTAAAAAATATTTAAAAATTCAATTTAAAATAAATAAATCCGGAATTAAAGTATTCCAAAACTCAAATTGACTTTTCTGACCAAAGTGGTACAATGAACGCTCACCATAACTCCGAGACGCGTTGAGTAAAGCGCTGGTGATTCTTATTCTTATACGTTTGCCGCAAGTTCAAGTGTTCTGGGCATACGTTACCCCATGAAGAACCGCAATGCCAAAAAACTGGAACTAATTAGGAAATGTCTCATATTATAATTCTTATAAGTTATCAATGCTTGTGAAGAAGTGTCGAAAGGACTTTCGAGATTATCGTAATCGTTATCCGTTACCGATTAGCTTTCTTTAAAGGAGAGGGTATACCGAATACTTTTCATTATCCGTCGTGATATGAAGTTGATAATGAAAAAGTTTTACACTGGGCTTGAATGATAGACATCACATACTTCCTAGAGGCAAACCACCTCAAATTCTTACCCTCTGATGTCCGGGTTCCAATAAAAAGCGTGGAAAGTAGTACAATTGCTGGACCAAATAAAATAAATGTTGACTTCTTCCGAGCTTGTTGCTATAAGTTACATGTATTCTTCGCACGTCATATAACATGATACCTTCGGAATGGAAAGATACCTGACAAGCGGAGAACGTCGCGCAAGGTCTTTTTGAGAAAAATGGGGAGTGAGAGGACACAGAATCATCGTCCGTTTCGCTTGTTGGACGTACTTTACAAGCTTTTTACGAAAACTAAGCTGTTGCTCATAATAACAGTATTGCAAGAGGCTCAATATGTATAACAAGAAGGAGTTCCTAAGAAATTCTGCTGTATGAACCACATACAAACGGTGACAAGGGTTTCATAGAGGTCTGTCGAAAACACCACTCCCTTGGCCTTCGTGAACTATGAAGAAGTATTCAAAAACGTCGAAAAGAAAGCTGTGCAACCAGCGCTTATTGATCAAAAGGTGGAACTTTCGTGTATAAAAATTCTTGACAAGTGCAATCAAAATTGCACCACAAAAGTGCTTCTCTTCGACCAGACCCTTACTATAGCAAAATATCCTCTGCGACATAGAGAATTTTTTCTCAACCCAATAAACGTATACGCTTTCCTGATTCCACCCATCAACACATACCCATCGATCGATACAATGCAGGGCATAAGATAGCTCCTCCTTAATCTTATAAGAGATTAATTATATACTTGTAGGAAACGTTTTGTAGAGTAATCTCTGCTTTATTACCCAAATTACATACAAAGGAAAGTCATATCATATTAATGTTTGGTCTCTGAGTCATCGCATCGAAAGTTAGAAATGGTGGAAAGGCAAGTGAAAGTGCAAATGTCCCTATTCATAAAAGGCCATAATCATTTAGACATTTCGAATTGCTCCTGAAAATGAAAATAGCTGATGGACTGAAAAGGACATTGTTTCCACATAGATCGAAGACTCCGCCTCCTCCCTATATAAGCAGTTACAGTAAACATCTCCTCCGTACTCATCACGCATGGCTTCTAGCCAGTCTCCTTTCCCCTTGCCATTAAACTGATTTCCGTTATCTCGTTATGTCACAAATCTCATACAATTTCCATGATTATTTCCCAGATGTTAATTCATTTTCAATTTTCCCATTCCCATATGTTAATTCATTTTCAATTGTTTTTGATCTTCATATATCATTCTTACATTTCATATCTGATTAATAATTGTTATATGATTGCATAATCACATCGTCATGAAACTTATTATGTATATTTTTGAGTTAACGTAATTGTAATTTTGATTTAATATTTTATGTTTTTTGAATAAAGGTTTAATAACCCAAGTTTGAGGTCTGGCTGTCGACTTGGGTAACACGTAGTTTAGCTGATCCTGCGTCCGACAAAAACGCCTGATATCCGTGATCTTCATTCACGCTTCGTTCCACAGCATCGTCATCAAACGAGCATAGGATTCAATTACTCAAGTTTGAGGTTTAATCACCCAAGTTTGGAGCAAACCTTATAACCATTGAACCCGAGCCTTGCATATGGTACATTGCCCGGGAATCGAACCTGAAACGTCCCTGATGGCAGGTGAACATTCCGCCACTGAACCACCGATGCCCTTGCAGAATACTATCGCAACACGCTACCAATCGTCTTCACAATTACACTTCAGTTGCCGTTATTGTGTCTTATTGTTGTTTTAACAGATCGTTAGTTATCGTTATTTGCTATTGTATTATTGTTATGTACTATATAAAGGTTTAATACCATAAGTTTAAGATAACTAGCAAACTGCAAGAGAGCTATTGTTCTTCCTACAACAACTGTACAAATCGACTTTGCAGTCAACTCTCAAGTCCCACGTGGCGGTATCACTCCTAGCAAGAGTCGCCAACTTCATTCACTACTGTAGCAACAACAGTCAATAGAGGCCCATTCAACATGCACTTCTCACCTTCATGTTATCTGATCGTATAATCACTGTCTCAACTGATTCTTTGTGATAATGTTATTGCGTCGTTTTTAATTACTTGCTATTATAGTCTTGATGTATTATTTGTGTGTATTGTTCAATTGAATGTTTAATAAGCCAAGTTTGAAATCTGTTGGTCGACTTTCAATTGGATAACACCTTACGTAACAGTTTCTGTTTCCGATAATCTCCATTCAATCCTTCGCATCGTCATCAAAGGATGAACATACGCTCAATTACACAAGTTTGACGTTAATCACACTAGAATAAGAACAACCACCACACTCTACTACCGTTGATACTAACTCAG